AGCCTGACAGCGCCCGCCGCCCAGGCATTGAAGAAATATATGTTCTATTGTCTCTGGTCTTTTTCTTGATGGGAATGCATTCGTGCATAATCTACACCAGGGCAGGGCGAGTCCTTTCTGTTCAAGGTTGGTCCTGTCAATCAGCCAATTGTTAGTTGGTAGGCACCTGTGTTCCATTTGCCATTGTAAGGAGACCAGGTTGGCAGGTTTGGATTTGTTGAATTGGAACCATTTAACTTTTCTCAGTGCTTCTTTGCTAATGTTCAAGTGATGCATCCATCGCGCTTCCACCCGGTCTCGCAGGTTAGTTTTCGGTCGGAGCATTCTGTATGTGGCTTTGACTATGATATCAGATAGCGTCTTAGTGCTGGTTCTGCCCGTGCCTATTGTGTTCGTCCAAACCCATTCCCAGGGGTTCAGGGGCAGTTGAGAAATCGGTGTGTCCGGGGAGAACGCCACCCATCTCTCGTCCTCCATCAGCACTCTAGTTCTTGAGAGTTCCTTCTCTTCGACTAGTTGTATCTGTTCAGGGTGGACTTTTTGGAGTGAGTTATCATTGCAGATTGTGAAGATGTCTACTGCCACCAGTTATGCCGGGTCTCTGCGCACCACATTGCCCACTTCTCCCTGTCGACCCCGAATTAGTACCCAGTCCAACTCTCGTATCGAGGGTCCCTTTCTCAAGATTTTCCACCAGTGCAGGGGGATGCATTCTATCAAGTTTTCCAGGGCCTCCTCCGGTTTGTGGCAATACCTCAGCTTTTCCTTAAGTTGGTCTCTTGCTATCCAGTCCCTACTTTCCACATCCCAGATGTCCCTAATTCTAAGGACCCCTTTTTTCACCCGTCATTTCCATGGGGAGTCCGTGCAATGCAGGACCTGGCCTTTTGTGTTAGTTATCCTTGTATTCCCAAATAATGGTTGTCGGGCCACCTCCTCCCATCTTTCTGGGTGGGTTTTGTCTGGCAGGGGGAGGTTTCTCCATATCCTCAGCAGGTTTGGCCAGAAGGGGTCGTTGTGCAGGTCCTTTCTTGCCTCACGTCTTGGTGAATTGACCTCGTCTGCATTTTCTCGTTGTGCCCGTCGCCGCGGGATTGGCCATTCTCTGTTTTCAATCCATGTGAGCGGGTTGATGTGGGCTGGTGTTTCCGGAGCTAATCTCGAGATTTGCTCTAGTGCCAAGTCTCTCCATGGTATATTCGGGCAGAAGAGCAGGCGCTTGAGCCATTGTATGGCCAGAGCCTTGACCTGTATTGTCGGATCGATGATACCTAAACCCCCTTTAACTTTAGGTTGGATAATCGCTAGACATGCCACTCTGCTGATAACATTGTGTTTTTCGTGGTTCCCCCGCCACAAAAAGGCAACCAACTGTCGCTGCAGGGCGTTTAGGGAGGGTTTGTCTAGCCCCCAAATGACCGATTTGTACCAAAGAGAGGCTAACACCACGTTGTTAATAACCAGGGCCCTGCCCATCAGTGAGGTATGTTTATCTTTCCATTGGGCTAGCTTCTCTAAGGGGGGCTTGGTTATCCATTCATTATTGGTTGATGGTCTGCCGAAGGCTGTCAACGAGACTCCCAAGATCCTGATTGGGGCTTCTTGCGGTAACCATCTAACCCTAGGTTGTTCGGGGGGTCTTACCGCCTGATGGTGGATCCACCAGCCTAGGGTCTTATTCCCCCAGGTAACTCTCATATCCGATAAGGCACAAAAACGGTCCATCATCTGTTCGACTCCTTCCATCGACTCTCGGGTTGCATCCACCATGAGGGTCAGATCGTCCGCAAACATAGAGCATACCGGGATGGCCTCTTTGGGAATTGAGGATAGTTGTATTCTGTGAATATCTCTGTGGGCTCTCAGATTTGCTGCTAGAGCTTCCATAATTATCACTAAGGGGTAAGGGGCTAAGGGATCCCCCTGTCTAACGGACCTTTGTAGATTGATTGGTGGTGTCAGGTTTCCATTGACCATGACCCTAGTTGTTGCGTTCTTGTGGAGGATCTCCACCCACCGTCTAAAGTTGGGCCAAAATTATTTTTTTCCAGGCATTTGTCCAAGGATATTCAGTCCACATTATCGTAAGCCTTTTCAAAGTCGATGAAGATGATTGCCGCGTTTTGTTTAGATTGCCTTGTTAGCTTGATCACTTCATTGACTAGTAAGCAGCCTAGGCGACGGAAGGAGAGAATGGAGGTGGAGATCATGGAAAATATCGCCCAGACGAGAGAAGGGGCCTCCTCCTCCCAACCCTCTCAGACAGAGGAAACACCATCTCAAGCCTTTTCTTCCCCCTCCCCGGGAGAGCTGTTCAGGGAGATGAAAGACCTGCAGAAGGAGGAAAAAAAGTCTCCCCTCCCCCCCTCTTGGGCCGACAAACATTAGAGGATGTACACTAGTCAAACTCTGTCAGTCAAAAGGAATGGGGATGGGGAAGAAGACATGGAAATCCCCTTGGATAACTTGACAACAACTTCGGTTTTCTTCATCACGAAATATTTGACTACCCCAGAAGATACGATAATTAGCCAAGGGGGAAAGAAACACAGAGTCAAAACCCTCCCTAACAACATGATTGAAGAGAGGGATGTGATTTATACCCGGCACGCGAGCACCTGGATTTTTTATGATGATGCCGCCTACAAGTCGGCCAATGACAAGCTTGGATGGATCAAGAAATGACTCGCCACTCTAAAAGGATCGGAGGAGGGTGCTCGGGATTTTTTTCTTCATACAACCAATCTCGTCATCAGTCTTTACTGTGATCTGTGTGTTCGACTCTGACAAGCGGATCATGGACACAGGGTGGAGCATATCCTGTGGACGCTCCGAGGTCCGGATCTTTCCCTGGTCCCCTCCGAAGCAATAAAAGTCAGAGGAGAAGCGAGACCAATTGATGATGAACTATTACCGGGTGGAGTTCCGACACGTACCCATAAAAATCCAAGGGGCCTTTGTACAAGAACTCACCCAATCATATGAGATAGTCGACTTCATTGACCCTCTCCCCCACTATGTGGTCCCGAGGGACGACTACCTCATGATCGCTCTGGACCTTCCCAAAGACCATTTTTTTGCCATCGACGACGTGATTCCCTTCCGAGTAGGAGGAAGAGACTTCAGAATCCACACAACACACAAAATGAGACCCTGGTGTTTTAAGTGTCAGGTATACGGGCACCTCTCATCAAAATCAGGGTACCCCCATCACCCGTTCAGAAGGGTCAAATCCACAAAGCGTCTATTGCGCGAAAAGGAGGGCACCTTGCACAATACAGGGGAACACGAACAAAAATAAGCCTTGCGGCATTAGACTTTGGGGACTGGTGAGCGGCCGGCCATAGCATAGACAGGGTCAACTTTTTTGAAGACTAGGGCCTTATAAGCCCCTGCAGAAACATTTACACTCCCCAGTCTCCTTTAGATGAATATTAGTTAGAAATTGGACCAGGCTCAGGAGCTATCGGTTGCAGTACCTACCGGTGCAGCGCGCGCTTTTTTTTCACTTTGCTTTTTCTTTTCTTTTTCTTTTTCTTTTTCTTTCTTTTCTTTTTTTGCCTTTTCGCTTTCTTGTCGACTCAACTTTCTCGCCCGCCACCCTCAACCTTCCGACTTCTAAGCTCCTCTTATACCATCGCCACCAATCGATCCATCTCTTTCCGAGCCCACGCTGTAGCGCGAGCTCAGGCGGCGGTCTTGTCACTTGCTCATCCGCGCCACGATGGCTTTCTCACTCCACCATGCCTGCGACCCTCTATGGGATTACCCTCCTTGCTCCTGCTGCCCGCTGCGCGCATGAAACACGCGTCGACAAAGCTAAGTACCAAGCTCTTTTTTTCTTTTCTTTCCTTTTCTTTTCGTTTTCCCTATCTCTATCTTTTTCTTTTTGTTTTTTTTTTCTCTCTATCTCTCTCTCTCTCTCTCTTTTTTGCCACTGCTCGGCTGTTTTTCACTATTTATTCGCTCTAAGGCACGACTACCGGTATCTTGTATCCCTGCGCTTCCCCTGATGACGACTGCTGGTCGGCTGCAGTCGAAACATGTCGGGATTTTTGCTGACGCTGACTTCCACGGGCTATGATGACCGATTGTGCTCTCTGCACAAGTCGCCTTGCCTGATGGGGGTCTTCCATGGACTTCATGTTTTTTTATTCGATTTGAGCGCTTGGGCTTTAAGTATTCGCTGTCGTGCTATTTTTCTCGCTCCGGTTTCACTCTCCTTCTCTCTCTCTCTCCCCTCTGTCTTTCTCCTTCTCTTTCTCCTTCTCCTTGCCCTTCTCTTTCTCTTCCTGTCTTCCTTCCCCTCTCCCTTTCCTTTGGTCCTATCACCATGGTAGGTGTTGATCTATCTTCTTCGTTTGCATATCTGCTATCCCTTACGGATTTGTTTGTTTGCGTTGCCTCTGATCTTCCCTAATTATCGCGTGTATAAAAAATGGAATGTCTACAATGTTTGCTCTGGATGCTTGATCAAACTATCTTCTGCCTGCGTGTCTTTCGGATTTTCGCTGAAGTATCGTATGGAACTTTGCGTTATGCCATAGCTAAGGTTAGACGCGAAAATGACAATGCTCGTACTAGGTGAGCAAGGAGATGTCATCCGTACGAAATGTAATCTACAACCCCTACTCTATGCTGCTGGCACCTGAGCTATGTGACTTGCTCACTACTCGCTAGCTATCTACATTAATTCCAGCAATAACCTTAGTAGAAATCAGACTACTATTAGCATGGTTGCTTGTTTTCATTAGCATCAATATCATCATCACTACCTTCACCATCGTTACTATCTTTACTATCTTTACTATCCTTACTATCCTTACTGTCCTCACTATCTTTACTACCTTCACTACCTTTACTATCTTTACCATTTTTGTCATCTCCGCCAGAGTTACCGTCTTCACAGTCTGTCGTACCGTCTTCTTCTTGATGGTCGACTTCTCTACTTCCTTACCAGCCACAGGATCCGTACGGGCTTTACTACGCCTATTGGCTTCACTGCTTTTTGTCTCCTCGCTGTTGTGGTGTATTGCCAGACAGGATTACGCTCCCCTCTACGATTGCTGTTTCGTCCTCTGGGCCGATCAAGATGGTGTCTCGAGGCATGTGTTTGAACTGCAATATGGCAGGTCACTTTGCTAGAGACTGTCCATATCGGCAACCTTCTTTTTCTCAACAGCCTAATGGGTTCCGTTCCCCGTCTTTCCTCCCTCTACCACCTCCGTCCATCCACTCGACCCCTGGTTCTTCGCAAGCCCCCCTTCTTGCTCTCCCCCCTCCTTCGCCTCCTTCGGTCTCACAGTCGAGTAATGGGAATTCGAATCAGGCGATCGTCCCAACGCATCCCTTGTGGAAGCTTAACCAGGATAAACTGGACCGTGTGTATGAATTCATGGCCTCTGAACTGGAGGCTCGACAAGAGGCTATTCGCGAGAAGGAGAAGCTTCTCAAGGAAGAAGAGGAGAGGACGAAGGTCAAGGAAGCAGAAGAGAAGGCTCTCAGGAAATTGAAGGAACGACAGGATTTCCAGGAACGAATTAGTAACACTGTGGGTAGCAAGATCAACGACGCATGCGAGCTGTTCCTAGGGAAGTCGGATACAGCCTTAGCAGCTGGCGAAAGGAGGGGATCAAGGGAACAGGCCAGAACGAGGACTGATAACGATGCTGAGGAGCGCCTGCAGAAGCAAATTGAGCAGCTGCGCATGGATAACGAGGCTATCAGGAAGCACATGGAGGAGTTGGCACGAGCTATCAAACTCTCAACGGCGGGCGCCAAGAGACCAAGTGGAGGGGTCTGTATCGCAAGCCCACCGGAAGCCCCTCCTCGGGGCAGACCGAGAGTAATGGGAGTTGGCACACCAACCTCGCAAGACTTCCAGAAGCTGCTGAAGGCTTACAACCAGGTCAAGGAGGGTAAGAGAACAGCTGACCTCGAGGTGCAGGCGCTCAAGGAACGTTTTGAGCGAGCCATTGATAAGCTCGTCAGGCAAGAACAAACTCCTCACTCGAACTTTAGCAGACGAATGAACGATGCCACGGATGATGACGAACTTGAGCAGCAGGATAGGCAAGATGAGGCACTGGACAATCTTATATTGCGCCCGTCCCCACCGAAGAGAACGTCCGGGCGTCTGGCGATGAAGGCTGCTATGGCTGAGAGAGCCGATTTCCTAAAGGAAACGAGGAAGCACCTCAAAAGGCTGAAGAAGCAGGGTCTACAACTGCTCTGCAATAGGGAGGGAATCACCTTTGTCACGTGCGATCAGGCGATCAACGACATAGCTGAACATTGGGCATCGCTGGCATTTGGGCCCCTCTAGGAGAACGCAGAACAGTCCCCAAGTCCAAAAAAAAAAAAAAAAAAAAAAAAAAAAAAAAAAAAAATACTGTGTTTTTTCTCACGCCCGGTTCACCCGGGCGTCGGACCTGCCCGGGCGTGACGCCCGGGTGCCCGGCCGGGCGTGGCAAGCCGGGCGTGGAAATCTTCCTAGATTTCTTTCCATTTCTTTCCATTTGGTTTGCCTCTCGAGGAGGTTGTAGGAATAGGTGCTACCTGGCAAGTCATATGTGATCCTGCGAAGGGTGTCCGAAAATTCGGTGGCCCTCGAAGACCGATGCTGGAGCAACGCTGGCCGGAGCCGGAGCCGGAGCCAGGTGGCGCAACTCTGTGACCCAGCTTAGTGGGGGCGTGAGGCCTGGTAAAGAGATCTGGGGGGCTGTTTGTCGGGGCAGTCTCAGTGGTCATCAGGGGTCGTAACTGGAGCAATGCTGGCCGGTGCTGGAGCAAGGTGGTGCAACTCTGTAACCTAACCTGATGGGAGCATGAGGCCTGGAAGAGCTTCAGTTCGTGCTGAATCCAGCCATGCCATGGTGGTCTTAGGTGGATTGAATAGGTTTCACCTATCTGATTCGTGGTTGGGAGGCTTTTTGACACACATACTCTAGTAACTTGGTAGGGTTATGAGTACTCGCCATGAATGTTTCTGAGTTTTTCCTTTATCCATGGTTTGTTGGTTTTGGTTGCCAATGGGCGTTTTAAGAATGATTTAAGATTCTGGGGACTTCTAGCAACTCATCTTAGACGGCTCCATTGCTAATATACTCAGTGATCTGCGGCTGTTCGATGCCAGAACGATGCTGGCCGGTGCTGGGGTGTTGCCCTGTAACCTGCTGATGCAGGAGTGTGAGTCCTGGTAGAGAGATCTGGGGATGCTTTGGGGTGGGCATTCCAAGGGACAACCAAGGGTTGCTGCTGGGACGATGCTGGCCGGAGATGGGGCGAGCCGTGTTGCCCTGTAACCCAGCAGGGTGGGGGTGTGAGGCCTGGAAGAGCTCGGCAGGGAGTAAGACAGTGCTGGAGAGCTTTAGAAGGGTTGCTAGGGATCCACAGGATTTTGAGCATTTGTAGGACCTCTGTGGTGGCATGTTTTGTTGTGGGCAGACCTTTTTTCTGTAGTTGTGGGCAAACTTTCAAAATTCGATGTAAATTTCCATATGGGACGCTGGGCCTGGTTCCCAGCACGTGCTGCTCCCCACGAATAGATTGGAGCCTTTGAAAAAAAAAAAAAAGGAGTTGATCAGACCCTCAGTACTCAGCATACAGCAGACTGCCGATAATGGCAGCTGCCGCCAATGGCTCAGGTCTCCGCGAATGCCTGGTGCTCAAGGCATATGACGACGACAGCATAAACGATTCTGATGAAGGGTGAGGAAGTAGTAGATCACCTCATGAAACTGGCATGTATTGTTTCAGATGGCATGCCGAAAACAGATTTTGGTGTGCTGCTGTGTGTGTACATTCATATACAAACTTACAAATAGACATTGCCACCACAGCATGCTCCAGACCGCCACCCCTCAAAGACAAATCCCAAAGGCCACGCCCCCTGACTTTTCCCACATAAGATGTGGACGGCACAACTTGCAACACCAACGAAAAAGAGCCAATAAAAGAGGAACAGCGAAGAAAAACAAGAAAATACAAAGAGACTAACAGACTGTTTCTTGGACTGCGATTGACTATCAGGACGCTGAACTGTCAACAATCCGCCAAATGCCCAGATTGGCGTTTAGAGTCATAACGTACTTCGACCCCTGTCGCGAGTGGATAGCTCGGGGTTGAGGGCTGTTGGGGGAGGGTTTGGGTCGGGAATGGGAGGGTTCGAGCGGGAGGAGAGGACACAGCGCTTGCACCCTCATCGTCCGCTTGACTATCGGGAACGGGAGGGGTCGGGAACAGGAGGGGTCAGACGTGAAACACAGGCAGCAAGGCAAAGGAGGTAGCGGTAGAGCAAAGGACAAGCAGGGAGGCAGGACAAAGTCAAACAGAAAAGCGATAAGGCAAGTAACAGCCAGGCACAGAGTCCAGCAAGCAGGTGGCTGGGCGGCAAGGCAAGCAACAAGGCAGGCAGCAAGGCAAACAAGCAAAGCACCAACAGGGGGTCAAGCAACAACACAGGCAAACGGGCAACAGAGCAAGAGAGGCAAGCAGTGAAGTCGAGTATCAAGCCCAAGCAGTATGGCAGCAAGGCAGCGTGAGGCAAGTGGAAAACTTGAAAACCAGCAGCAAAGCGCCGATACGGTGGTCCAGACATACAGCACAGCCCAACGAGGACTACCAGTTGCACCACAAGTGGACATTCTACCAACTGTGAGTGCACGCGTCGACTCGTACATAGAGGTTCAGCTGCTACAAACGTCCATACAGAGATCCCAAGTGATGCATTCACTGGCATATATATGTCATATCTACACCCTCATTGGTAAGGGGAAAATAAAATAAAAAGAAAAGAGAAACGCTGTCAGCTTTGACAAAATCAGCACTCAAGGGGCTCTGACATGATTCAACATGATGGATGTCGCGATAAATTACGACACAAACATCCCGGGCCAACATGGTATCCACCCCCTGCTATGCCTATCTCACACGACCAGAGTTAACAATGTACCTCTTCATTCCAAAGCGGGCGAGATGCATTCACACTGCAAGTACGAACTGAAAACCGCGAGGCTTTACTTTCACAGTATACGGTTCCAGCTCATGGCATCCCAACGCGGGCGAGAACCATCTTGACTCCTGAATTGACTCGACTGGTAGCTCGAGCGAAACCAGGCCTACACAAAATCCAAACCAACTTGAGTTCAAACTCAAAGCCTTTCCTCAAGTCAGTTCTTGTCAATTGACCAATGAGGGCTTCAGTCAAACATCTTCCTTCTTGACTCCTGAATCGACTCGACTGGTAATTCAAGTGAAACCAGGCCTACACAAAACTTTAATCCAAACGATACTTGAGAGTTCGAGCTCTCGAGGTCATCCGTCAAGTCAGTTCTTGTCAATTCAGCAACGACTTGATTCAACTGTAGCGAGCTCTACCATCGACGACAACAATAAGAGAGAAAAGTCAGGAGGCTAGGTCAGTGGGCCAGACAATCAGGGGTCCAGGTGCGGCAATCAAGATTCATAATCTTCTGGTGGTGGAACATAATCCACATCTGTGCCGGAGTCAGAGTCAAGGAGGTTCATTCGCACAAGAACCTCCGGTGCGCCTGCTTGGTCCCTGGCTATGAGAATCTCCTCGTCGAGATAAGATACCAGAATCCTCCGCGAATAGCTGCCAGCCAGCGGAATCTTAAGGCCGTCTTCAAGAGTCTGGGTTACGTTCCTCGGTAGGCTCTGAGCGAGAGTGCTCAGTTGTTGAGACCAGGACTTGAGAATATCAGGGGCAGTGTCTTCAGCAAGTGCAGGCATGTCCACTGCACCCTCGACGAACTCTTCTGTCAGACGGGTAGGACCCTCCACCGACAATTTGCAGGTCAAGCTAAGCACGGTGACAACCGAGGAGAGGAGCCTCAATACTGCCGACACGCGCGCCGCCTGAGAGGTTATCAAGAGCTGAAGGGAGTCAACGGTAGCGAGTTGCGCAGGCATCTGGCCGAGTACAGCGCCTGAAGCAAGCAACAATGGGCTCTGAACACCGGTCCATGCAAACTGCCACCTTCCTTCAAAGAGAGGAGAAGTAGTCGGTCGCGGCACTGTGTTCAGTCGTTCTAGGGCCAAGACCTTTTCATTGACATCAGCGACGGCGGCAGATGACGTCTTTCCAGAGAAGGAAGACTCCCAACCCCCTGCGTCTTTGATCGCAAGCAGCAGAGACTCTTTAGCTGTCACTCTTTCCATCTCCTTGGCTTCGATGGACGCTGCGCTAGGAGCCCAGGCACTGGTGGAACTTCCTCCCCCCCCACCACCTCCACTTCCACCTGTGGAGACCATGGCCCTCACCAGTACCCATCTTTGATCATTCTGCGCATGTCCTTTTCTACGGAGGCTAGACCTTCTGCCTCCAGCTCCTGTTTGTCCTCCTAGTTGTCGCACAGCACGACATCCACTTGCAAAGGAGAGACTTTCCTGCTTAGCTACCTCGAGAGCCAAGCATCGAGCGAATCGCCCACGAAAACCTGCGCACGACTTTGGAAGATAACTCGCTACGTTCCCAGAGAATAATTGCAGCTTCTTCTGCTCGAATGGCACGGAGTGCTTGGGTGCTGCTCTTCCCACAGCCGAATTCGAGGAGGATGGAGAGGAGGAGGAGGAGGAGGAGGAGGAGGAGGAGGAGGAGGAGGAGGAAAAGGAAGGCAAAGGCAAAGGATTGGAATTCAATAACCTGTCAGCAGAAACTGCAGAGCCAAACATCACAGTTGCCCCTGTAGGACCCATTGTGACAGGCCACACTCCTGATTGTTTCTTTCTATTTTCTGTGCGCGTTCCCGTGCTCCTGTTGTGTCTGCGTGTGGGGGTGTGCAGGCTTTCTGCACCTTGTTCCCCAGACTATGCTGACCTGACGACAGTAACGACAGAGTTTAACTGAGTTCCGCACCTACACATAATTACAACTTTGTTCAAATTGACAAGGGGGAAAGGCAGAGAAAGACTCAGCATGCAAGAGAGAGGTAATAATGACTGGTAAGGATAGCTATACCTAATCTCTTCACCTTAGCTGCTCTCTCCAGTCGATTACAAAAACAACCTTCCGAGAGGGGGAGGGGTGGGGAAGGCACAGAGAGAGAAAGAGAGTAGAAAGAGAGTAGAAAGTATACGGCAGAATGGATGGTATAAGCGATCCACTGCCGACCGAGTCTTCCTTCACCTGCTGCCCACTTCTGTTGTCTTCATTCCTTTCTTCAACCATAATCTTGCTTGTTGATTCATCGCACCAACCTCACTGACAATGGCTTGTGGCAGACCTTCACACACTAACAGGTCAAACACATCAAAGCTTCACAAAAAAAAAAAAAAAAAAAAAAAAAAAAAAAAAAAAAAAGAAAAAAAAAAAAGTAAAAAAAAAAAAACACCAAGGTGAAAAAAAAAAAAAAAAAAAAAAAAAAAAAAAACGCGCAGAGTGAATCAATCCACTGAGAGATGGCAGTCTGGCTCCACATTTACCTGCACCAGATTACCGCATATAAGGAGGGGGGAAAGTACAAAAGTACAACCAGATCACAGGATATAAGGAGGGGGGAAAGTACAAAAGTACAACCAGATTGCCGGATATAAG